AGGACAGACGAATATATTATACATAGATAAGAAAGATCGTGCAGTTCAGAGGCGAAGCATGGAGCGATACGGACCACCGGCGTATCGGAGGGAAGTAGCCATACGCAGGCGTTCCCCTCTGTCAAAGTATAAGTCCACGCGGTCCCATGCGTAAAATAAAACTAGTTTTTTATTTTATTTTATAGAATAAGGGTGACAAACGAGCGCAAAGTTCACCTGATGGTAAATGGTCGCCGTGGCTCATAGACATCTACATCTATCTTCGCTTGCGAATTAAAATGCAAATGCGTTGTCAGCCGTGAAGACTAAGATAGAATGCCTCTTTTCTGGTTCTCTACACTCACCATACGAAACACAGCAGTGTCAAGCTGCTATTTTACGCTGGTATTCTGTGAGAGCGTGGTCCTTCCCCGGTCGAGCCGACCCATTCGTGTGCTGCAACCATGATATAGCTGCGGCATGGCTCTACCACGTATGAAATGTGAACTTTAAGTGAAAGTGATGAAACAAGTGCTCCGATGTTGATATTAAAAGTTATTTTGTTCGCTTAGGCGCTTGAGATACTGTCGTCTACGACTGTCCGGGAGGTTCATTCGTGCTAAAACTATACTATTAATATAGCTGCAGCATGGCTCTACCATGTAAAATATTTGCAAAAATTTAAAATAGTTGCAACCGTATTGCTCACTAGACTAAATCTAGTTGTGTGGCTGAATCGACGTCCTACAAAAATGTCGAATTGTTCAGTTTTTTTTTCCTGTAAAAAGAGATATGATTTTGATTTCTGTCCAGTGTGGAATAAATCCCACGAAAGTTGCCAACAGTCGGCAATTCTTTCGAGTTTGATATGTGATAGGGTCGTGTCATACATCGAAAGTCATAAAAAAATGATTTTACGAAAATTTTCGCGCGTTAAATTCATGCTGACTTGACACAGACAACTTTCAATTTGCCGCCAAATCGTAAACAAATGACAAATTAAAAAAATACATACACAATGATATTGGCAAAGAGTTCCAATTTCAAAATATGAAATTATCTTTTTATTATATCGTTTACAAGTAGCCACTTCTAAAAACTTTCAGTGTTACCCTCGTATACTCGTAGCTGCAGCTGGAATAGGTTGGCTCGACCGGGGAAGGACCACGCTCTCACAGAATACCAGCGTGAAATAGCAGCATAATCCTGGGTTTCGTATGGTGAGTGTAGAGAGAGTATTGATTACTTATTACAAAATGACAAAAATTAAGTTTTTTTTTAGTGAATAATGGTGACAAACTAGCCATACAGTCCACCTGATGGTAAGTGGATGCTGTGGCCCATAGACGTCTACATTTATCCTCGATTGAGAATCAAAATGCAGATGCGTTGACCCCAGAAGACTAAGATGGAACTTCTCGTTTGCAGTAAAAAGTTCGCTTTATTTACAAAACACAGCAGCATTAAGCTGCTATTTCATGAGAGCGTGATTCTTTCCTGGTCAAGGTGATCATTCGTGCTACAACCAACATATAGCTGCAGCGTGGCTCTACCACGTAGAAATGGTTAGTACGTGTCTTCCAAGGTGGTACCAGACTTTTGACGCTGATGTCGGTCGCCAAAATGGTTATTTTACATTTAGTTTTATACGAGAGGTTTTCTAAGTTTTTTACGATACCCATGGGACTCTTTGGGCTGATGAATTCTCTTACTATTATCAATACAAATAAATAAAATTAAAGTGTGTTTTTTATATAATAAGGATGACAAGCGGGCACACAGTCCACCTGATGGTAAGTAGCTGCTGTGGCCCATAGACATCTAAAATTATCCTCATTTAAGAATCAAAATGCACGTGCGTTGTCACCCCTGAGGACTAAGATGGAATGCCTCATTTAGATTAAAAAGGTTCTCCGGTTCTCTACACTCATCATACGAAACACAGCAGCATTAAGCTGCTATTTTACGCTGGTATTCTGTGAGAGCGTGGTCCCTCCACAGTCGAACCGACTCATTCGTGCTACAACTATAATATAGCTGCAGCATGGCTCTACCACGTACAGTGCAGTACAATGTCTGTTTCTAATGTCAAAATAACAGTCGGTACATAAAATAATTTTTAAAAGTTTTGTCTGTATGTCTGTTTATTTCGGCTAGTCTCCAAAATGGCTGGACCTATTTTGACGGGATATTCACTGGCATATAGTTGATAATAAGGAGTACTTTGATGCTACAAAAATAATTAGGAATCCGCGTAAAATTTTAAAATCCAATCGCAATTAATTCCATGTAGACGAAGTCGCGGGGAACAGCTAGTAGTACAATAACAAAGCACGTAGTTCTAGAACTATTTCGGTTCACATAATGTGTTTTCGTGGACTTGTATCAAAAATAGCTTTCTTATTTCACTTTGTCGAAAGTCAATAAAGTTTTTCAGTAGGTGTAACGCATTTAAAACGCAATTATTAAATAATCAATCAAGAGCGTATGTTGTAGTACGACATTTTGATTGATGACTCAGCATTAGAAGGATTTGATGAATGTATTTAGCCGCCTGATGGTGAATGATCGCTGTACCCAGGGCCTGATTGAGGGTTGCAGTCGCCCCTAGGCTAATAATAGATTAGCACAAAATTTAAGTGTCTGTCTGTGATAACGTAATATTTGACTTCTATTGAGCTCTGGGGGTTATTTTTTTAAACGTTACCCCCACACTAGAATTTTCTCCTGTATCGTGGAGGCAGTTTAAAAACATAAATTGCACGAGGGCAAACATCAGCAGACCCGGAACAATTATTTGTAGGCCATACAAATACTTGTTCCGTGCGGGATTCGAACCGGCGGCTCCCGGCGCAACAACTCATTGCTAAGCCACTGCGCCACGGAGTCGTCAATGACGTCTCTCTCTCGCGTAATGTCGATAATAGTATTTGCATATTATTATCGACATTACGCGAGCCAGTTAACATCATAGATTATTGAAAATGAACATTTGAAATTACACAAAATTCACAGCTTATTCTGTAAATCTGTCAGTATAACAGGAACATTTTAAAATGATTTCGTTTTTTTATAACTGGTTTTACGGCTCTGGGTTCTAGCCCTTCTGAGCCGAAATTACAATGTATAATTATTCTTCATAATATACTGCTTCACAATCTGTTGATGCGTCACATTGTGCAGCCCTTGGGAGATTTTGACGGCAACTTGAGTCAGCAGACAACTGACAGTTGGCGGTAGTGTCTTGAGGCGCCTAAACAGACAGACGCCTTATCTTGAGAATCGCAGCACCATGAGAGCACTTTTTTCACCGTTTCCACTAATAGTTCACTTAGCAGATATTTAATACACAAAATCGCCCCACTTTTACATCCAAACCACTTCAAACCATTATTTAAACAATAATACAGGAGCAATAATCTGCCGCCGGTCAAGTTCCCGCCAAAACTCCAATTATTTAGCGTCAATCTCTACGCATAGTGATATACCCATTGATCTCTACTCTGGGCGACTGTTTGACCACAGATAGAGCTATTATGTGTTTGACATTGGTAGTATGAAAGAATGTTTTATTTTATTTTATTGAACGTATATTTGTAACACGTATTATATATAAATTTTAGCTTTCAACGGTCCTTTTCCATATTAAGTCTAACTATGTCTATGTCTGTCTCACACTCCTCCGTGAGTGCAGTAGGTATGCATAAAACAGCTGTACAAAGTTTACAAAGCTAGATTTAAATAGAAATTTATTCTGTGCTTCGGATACGTTTTATTTTACATACATAAATTACAGTCATAGCCCGTAGAGTTGTAGTGTTTATTTTTTGGTCCATAGACATCTACATTTATTATCCTCAATTAAGAATCAAAATGCAGATGCGTTGTCACACCAGACGACTGAGATGGAATGCCTCGTTTGCTCGTTTCCAGTAAAAAGTGTCTCCGGTTCTCTACACTCACCATACAAAACACAGCAGCATTAACATGCTATTTTACGCTGGTATTGATTAGCTACTGCGTTAACGAGCTGTCGAATCTGTTTGAAGTTTAGAAAAGTCTTTCCTAGTGGTTACAATAATGTTAATAATACTGCCGTACTTAATTGTTAATTATCGCTTACTTAATTTAAATATCTTATACCTGTCCCTTTCTAATGTCATGTATTAAAAAAGAGAGAGAGAGAGAGAGAGAGAGCGAGCATCATTTATTTAGCTGAGAGAGAAAGAGAGAGAGAGAGAGACATCATTGTTTTAAACTTAATTACATATAATAAAAGTGCCTAAAATATTTTAGCTAAATAAAACCTCAAAAGGGCAATATTAACGAATACTAAAAAAATCCTTGTTATCATTAAAGAAAGTTAAGAAGTTAAGAATATAATAACTGCCTCGTTGATCTAGTGTTCGTAACGACTGTTGATCTAGTGGTCGCGAGTTCGAATTCCGGGTCGGGGCCAAATCGGTTATAAGGTTTTTCTGTCAAAAAATTCTTAGAAGCATCTCGGAGACAGGAAATTGGCGGTTTCACCCCCGTGCCTCGGAAAGAATGTAAATTCCTGCGCCTGATCTCTCTCGTCGTTTCGGACTGCCATCCCATCGAACTATGAGAGTGAGGAAACAGTAAGGGCTTCGCAAACGCACATAATCGTGCACTATGATCTTGTTCTGCGAAGATTGCTATAGTGTGTTGAGACATGCCAGCGTGACCGAAATTCGGTCTCAAAGTATTCAAATCGTATTCTCATCTCGTTGGGCTGAATAAATATATTAAAGGAAATAATAAATAATTATATATTTAATATACTATTATTATTATTAAAGTAATAAGTACGTCTAACGATGCATAAAAAGTCATACCTTTTACATTCATACTCGAAAATTTGAATAAACAATTAAATAAAACTACTTATGTACACACATAAAATATTAATTAATATTATAAAATATCATCTGATTACAATTAGTGCATTTAAAATCACGATGAACGTGCGGAAGCGGTTAAATGGATGCAGCAGTTACCTGGTGGGGCGGTTGGTACGATTTCCTTCGGTGCCTGGGTATTACTTTTTCCAAAGGTGGTCAGGGCTTCGGAAGACTCGCCAGTCAGCCAACCGACCAGCAAAAGAGGCAGAATAGCTGCCGCCGCTTGCCTCCTGCACCACATCTCGATCTTCCACAATACACGCATTGTGTTGGACAATATATCTTTTTAATTTACGCGGCTTAACAGCACAGTATATTTTTTAAATTAACTATAAATGTCTATTCACTAAAATCAAATTGCCATATAGACTTCATAGACTTGTTAATTTTAATCTGTGCTTATAATATTCCGAATGTATCTTATGACATTAAAATTGCCGCGAAATCTTTTTTTTTTACACAAGTATTATTATGTAAATGTAATGTAAGTAGGTATTTATCTTTGTTTCTGTATGCTGCATATAATTATAAATTTAAATTACCAGCAGCAAATCGTAAAAAAGTAGGCAATTTCGATGAACGGAATAATTGTACCATAAAAAGAAATCCAAATTTATAAATATATTATCACAAATATTTCTAAAATTGTAAGCCTTATTAAATAGTTTTTCGTCGATCCAAACTCAATGTGACAAAGGCGTTGTAGACATAAATGCTTAAATATTAAACATTTTCAAACTACAAGAAAATCGGGATCAAGATGTGGTGTGGTATTAGAGGTCAAATTATGTATGTATTTTACGTGACGAGTTTTAAAATTATTTACCGTACTAAGGTGTATATTTTGAAGACTATTATGAAGAATAATTGTTTAGAGTAAGAGATGTAGATTTAATTTTTGAAAAATGCCCTTAAACTTGGAAAAACTTAAATAAAGGTTGTAACGAATGAATAATGATTATTTAAGATGTCATATACGCAATATATTTAAATTTTGTTACTACCGCATGCGTCAGTATTTAGCATATCTATATTTTGATTCACTAATCTTGTGGTTGGAAACCGAAATAAATATTTTTACTCTGAGTTTGGGTTTGAAATTATTAAAATAATATTACAATAATAATGACAACAAAAACTAAATGGTTTTAAGTAGTTATGTAAAGTTTTATTAAAGACACTGCATTAAAATTAAAAAAAATGTATATTCGTTGCAACCTTTGGTATATAAGTCCAAATTTTATTTCACGATAACGCATCTTTATGTTTTCTTTTGTTAAAGTTTTTTCTAAATAAGTATAATAATGTACTATTATCGTTGTGATGTCAAATTGTTGAATGATCATTGGTTTTTTAAGCTGTATTTGATGCTTGCTTTAATGTACATACATGCGTGAGATGTTTGCGTGTTTGTTTGTGTCACAATGTATGGAAAGCATTCGGCATTAATATTAAAAATCTTACCGGGCGACGGAGTAGGAGTCACAGGCTTAGGCTTCTCTGTGTTAGCTTTCCCGAAGGATGAGATTCCAAAGCTTTCGGTTGATTGTATGTTGAGCCATCCAATCAATATTATAGCCAGTGCTTTAGTAAACATTGTTAATTCACTTGTATATACCTAATGTGTTTTATTTATTATGTATTATTATGTTTAATCTATATTATTAACGTTTAGCAAACTGTAATGACCAAGAAACTTGAAAGATATTTGTTTTATTAAAATAAATTGGTTTGAGTTTTATCGTGCGAATATATTATTAACAATTTCACTTTTAATTATTTTGTAATTGATTGTTTCGCTTGTAACCAAATAAAAATAATTATGGCGCCATTGTGCGCCATTTTGTTTTAAAAAAATAAATGTATATTGTTAGTTTTATTTTTTGTAAATATTTGAGTGTGCGTGTTTGTGACAATGGAGGCTTAATTTTGCTATTAAAGCGTTTACTTTTCGTGAAGTAAATGGAAATGTGTCAGCTAGGGTGAGTGGCAGTTGATAGTATCATTTTGTAATGTAGTACATGTAGAAGTAGAAGTAATTAAGTTATTACTGTGTAAATATTTTAAGTCTACGATGTTTGTATCTTGATTGATCGTTTAAGTGATTATGAAAGTTTAGTAATGGATTTAATTACAGTTTGGTTTATAGATAATTTTAGTAAGCAAATGTAAGTTTATATTATATACAGATATAAACGTTATTTATAAATAAATGAACACTCTAAGTCAGTTCGTCCAAGAATACTTTATGATTAAGATTGTAAATTTGGAAAAGGAAATATTAAATTTAAATTTAGAAAAAAATTAAACATATTGAAATATTAGACATGCACGAATTGGGCACAATATAATATGTAAAAATTATAAGAAGAAAAATTTAGAAATATCCCGCATATTTACAAGTCAATTCAAAAAACGATTAATTTTGAAAACGAGAATAAAAAAATTTGGAAGAAATAAAATTGTGAAAAAGCCTGTCCCATTGACGAAAAAAATCTTACCCGAGGGCGTCGTTGGAGATGGAGTAGTTACTTCTGGTTTAATTACACCAAAAATTGGTCTAAATGTTCCATCACAATATGAAACCATTAATACTGCTAGGAGAATGATATGAAACATATAGCACATTGTAAAGCTTAAAATTTTTATTGTCAAGACAAGAAATTTGTCTATGGACTGATGTTCCTGAAATTAATGTTTTCGCAGTTTATGTGTTTTTTTTTAGAAAGTTCATAATTTATAATTTGTATTTGTTTTTCTTTCTGTTTAACATTATGTTCTGGTAAAGATTTCTTTCTGTCAAATGGGACAGAAATTGCCAAACAAAAATATTGTGCAGCCAATAAATAAGAGTGAAAGAACTATATTTTTGTTAAATTTGGATTTTATTTACATCAGTGATTTTATATCTGTGTTATATTAAAATATATAGTGCTTTATAAAGTCCCATTATAGACTAAAAAAATCTTTACCAGGCGGAGGTCTAGGAGTTTGTGGAGCTGGAGGCTTGGTGTTCGACACTCCGAAAGTGCTCAGGGCTTCACAATCACGCGTCATCCACGATAATAACGACAATGCCAAAACAACTGTCTTTATATTCCACCACATCCCGAAATACCGAATCGCGAACATTTTTAAATTTTGTTATAATATTGTTTGAATTTGAAACGACGATTTTGCACACTTAATTTATTGTGTAGTCAGTTCATTCCTAAAAGCGACAAAATGGTTCATTATGGACAAAAGCATTATGTGCAGTGCTAACAAAAATTGCATTCTTATTGCGTGTGGAAATTGCAAGGCGAATAAGAAATCTATATATAAAATGGATATAGGTAACAAAATGTATATACATAAAAATGAACGTGAACCTGACATAGATTTACCTAGTGTCTTACGGCAAGTGATAATTAAACTTTAAAATAATAATAAAAACAAAATAATTAATCAATAAAATTTAAAATAATTGAAAATACTGTCATGAACAAGAAAGACTATAATAATTAAAATCGGTTGACGTGTTAAAGAATTATTCGTCGTTACGTAGTGCTTGATGAAGTGAAGATGCTTATGCAAATTGAAAAATTTGATTATTTTCTCATGAATCCGTACATTAGATCTTGATCAAATATAAATGGAACCCCCACTGGGGTATCCCCTTTCTAACGAAATATAAAGAATCTTTGAATTCGGTCTAGGTGGTGATGATCAATTATCGCTGTACATACACAATAAAATTCCGAGGAATTGAGAACTTCATCCTTAATGATTTCTTATATTTACGCGATACACTACACATTGAATAAAACTACTTTTACGGATTCTATCGCGTTTAATTAACTTATTTTTATTGATTCTCGACGTTTCGGATACTTTACAGTAATCATGGTCACGTGGACTGAGGTGATTGACGTCCCGATGTCAGAGTTAACCACAGAGTATCTTCAGTTTTTTTTAATTATTAATTAATTAATTATTAATTATTCTGCGTAGATCGGACCAATATTAATAATTAAAAAAGTTGAAGGTACTCCATGGTTAACTATGGGTGACATCGGGACGTCAATCACCTCAGTCCCTCGTGACCACGTGAAACGTCGGGAATCAATAAAAAATAAGTTAATTAAACGCGATAGAATCCGTAAAAGTAGTTTTATTCAACTTCCTCCTAACTTTTTGAAGTATGTTAAAAATAAGGAGGGAACTGGTTTTATAAGAACAACCTATAAAACCATGTTAATTTTTCTAGCATCTCTATAGGGATGGAAAATAAGACCGATTCAGTATTTTTAATCTTATAATGAATTGTAGTCTATGGCAGGGTGTGCAAGTTAACTTAATTTTTTTTTCTTTAGGTACACCAAAATTTCACCTAGTGATGTCCGATTACACTTTATTATATTAAATGAAAATCGTGAAGTCAAGAGGTAGAATAATAATATATTACAACACTTAAGTAGTAGTACAATAATTTACTTTTATTAATGTAAAAAAAATACAAGCACACAATTCTATTAAAAAAAATTAAAATAAAAAAAAATTAAATAAAATTCTATTAAATTCAATTTTCACAATTGTAAAAATAAAAGGCGACAAAATTCCTAATATGAAGAATATGCATGGGGTGTAAGTTATAATGCGCAGATAAATTTATTCGCCCGACTGATTTTCTTAGACACACAATTTATTATCGAAAACCCTATTTACGTGCAAAGTTTTATGTGCTAGCATGACTGTGAGTACTGTCATATTTTAGGAAAATTTTAGACCAGGCGGAATGCTTAAACTGCTTTTACTTTTATAAGAAATTATAAAAAATTAAATGAATTAATATTAACAATAAAATAACAACAAGCCTGTACTGTTGATGTTACGAATATGTATGACAACTTTCATTTAATTTTTTTGACTAATTCAATTTCTAGGTAATTAGGTATTAATTTTTAGCAGTTAATTATCATATACGTATATTAATAATATGTTAAAATCTAAAAATCTTATCGGGTTATATTTTGGGAGAGCTCTTTTTATAAAAACGCATGTACATACAAATGACTTTTAATGAGTTGTGAGAAATTATACTTTATTATTTTAAATGAGTTATCAGACCTCAAAACCTTTAAATGTGTCAAAAAAATAAAAAGAAGTAGTCTATGATTTAGTGTAAGTACTTACCGTTCAAAATCCCCTTTAATTTTTATAATAATGTGATTTTAATAAAGAGTATTAATACATAATAGGGATAATTAATAAACTTGTGTGACG